GGGTCGTCGTATGGGTTGTCGAGAAAATTGAGATCTTGGGGGAAACGGGTTGACCGTATGGAAAGCAAGATTCATCGAACACGACATGGCGAGATATAATGATTTTGTGGGTGTCAAGGTCAAGGCAGCGGAAACCGCGTTGGTTAGAGGGATAGTCGAGGAAAATGCAATGGGTGGAGCGTGGATCTAGTTTGTGAGGGGCGGTGGCGGAAATATTGGGGTAACATAGGCAACCGAAGACGCGAAGGTGGCCGTAGGATGGTGGGGAATTGAAGAGGGTGGCGTGGGGGGTTTTGTTCTGTAAGGTGGTGGTGGGAAGGATGTTAAAAATGTGGGTTGTCATGTGGAGGGCCTCGACCCAGAAAGTGGGGGGAAGCTGGGCTTGAAAGAGAAGGGAACGGACCGAGTTGTTAATGGTACGAATGGTGCGCTCAACTCGGCCATTCTGTTGGCTGGTGTGTGGACACGAGAAACGGAAGAGGATGCCTAAGGAGTCAAAAAATATTTTTGAGTGGGGAGGTACGGTATTCTGTTCCATTATCACATTGAACTGCTTTGATTGTTGTATTAAATTGATTTTTGACATATGCTACAAATGAAGTTAAATGATTAAAAGCATCACTTTTATGTTTTAAAGGAAAAACCCAAAGGTAATGAGAAAAATCATCCAACAACAACATATAAAATTTAAAATCAGTAATACTTGGAACAGGGGACTGCCATAAATCTGTATGTAAAAGTTGAAACGGAAACATTGAAACACGACTAGAAGAATAAAATGGGAGGCGCACATGCTTTCCCAATTGACATGCATGACATAATGAATGTTGATAACTTTTAAAAGTTGGAAGAGACGAAATATTGCTAAGGACAGTTTGACTGGGATGGCCTAGGCGCCGGTGTCAGGTCTGAAGATTGACAGCGGCGACATTGGCTTGAGCGGCAACTAGGCGTCCTAGGGGGTAGAGGGGTCCCATATCATTGGAGCGATGTATCACGGTGCCCGTCTGACGATCCTTCATAGAAAAACCATTAGCGTCAAATTCAACAGAACAGTTGTTATCGCGAGTGAGTTGACGAACAGGGATGAGGTTGTGGGTGATGTGAGGGGAAATAAGGATATTTTTGAGGGACAAGGAAGGGGTGGTGGGGAGTGTATGGCTACCAACAGCCGTAGTTCTAACCTTAGATCCATTACCAACAGTGATATATAATGGTGAATATAAAGATTGAGAATTAACATGAGAAATAGTACCTGGGTCAGAGGCAATATGATGGGATGCACCGGTGTCCATATACCAAGAGGGTTCACGGAGGGATAGGGTGTCAAAGTGGTGTGCAAGGGCTG